GAAGCAACTGCCATGTGATTGGTTGATTAGATAATTGCATTAATGAGAAATTGAACAGGTGTTCCTAATAATCCTTTAGGTGAGTGTATGTCATCCATGCTCATCTTTTCAGTTTGTTTACCACTAGCAGGTAACTGGTAAAACTGTCTCCCAATGCTCTCCTGGATTTCTGTCCATGCTCATTTTCCTAGTAGGGAAGGCCTCTGTATAACAGAGGATTTATTTGCAGAGATATTCTAAGATAATTTTTTCTCATGAATATGATTCCAAGATGTGAAGGCCTTCATGTATCACAGTGCACCATTTTCATTGCTGTTTTGTACTGCAGATAATAAAAAGTCATGGAAAAATTCTAAAGCATGACAGTGACAGGACATGCGCCGTATCAAGTCCAGTCACACCCCTATTACAGAATACAGAAAGTGCAACGATGCAATCTTTTTTAATCCAGTTAAATGCTAGATATCTCATTTATACTCAGTGACTACACTTTACAGTATTTTGGATGGGAAAAAAAGCCAATCTGTTGGAAACCGAAAGACATCCACTAAACATACTGCTTGCCGTCTCCCAGAAGGAGGGGGCTTGAGGGAAGCCAGAAGCATCGATGATGATCTTGGCTGGGGTTTGCTGGCCCATAGAGACTGCTCTCTAGAGCTACAGAAAAGTGGTTCTCACATGTTCAAAGTACAACTCAAAAAAGGCATGTTCTACAATCACAGCCAGTAATATGCCCTGGCACCGTGCGATGGTACAGGTTTACAGCTGCTAGTTGTTTTTGGTTAAATACATATTAGCACATCCAATTGACTCAGGTGTTGACCGTTTATGTAATTTGTGCAAATTGAAATGGCTAACTTAGAATTTCAAACAGGGAAATAATTCAGAAAATGAACACTTTGAGGCAAAGCTGTTCCATTAGGTACCAGAATGTATTTGAAGTTATCATCAAGCCTTAACTTTGTGCTCAACTCATTGGTTAACAAAATGGCAACTATGAAAAATTTCTGAAAATCCTGGGCTGCTTAAAACTGTTTACTGTACCTATTTGGACCTCCCATGGTTGTATGAAAGTCGAGTGTAGTGCCCGTTCATTCTTTTCTCCTCTGCTTTATTGCTAATAATTGGCTTCTCTTTGTTTTTGTTGTCCCCTAGCATACATACTCGAATCCTGACGATTATACTCAGATTATAGTCCATCCTAGGACCCAATTCCTGTGATGTTTTTCTTTGTGTTGAAGTCAAAATAGCTGCAATTTGGTTTTCATTCCTCTGGATTTGCATATGGTCGCTGACACAACTGCACAAGTCCACTTTTTGATAAGTGACTTTTTACTATATGGAATACACTCATTCTCCTCTGTTTAGTATGTCTGTCTCCTAGTATTTGACACCTAATTGACCAATGAAAAGAGGTTTTATGAAGTCTGTCAGTCTGTTTTACTAGTATTTACGTTTGTACTGATTAACATTTGTATTTATGATGGTTGTTAGTATGAATTACTTCATTTCACTAATTTTAACTACTTAACACTGATAGCTAGACAGATAGCTAAAACAAGGTTAGTTTGCATCTTGTTGACACTGACATAATTGCCTCACTAACAACAATTTGTGTCAGTGCATTTAAAACATTAAACTGTTCACTAGCAGCCGTGTCAAGATAGGTTTCTATTTGTGGTGCTATGGGTATCTCATTACGTTGTTTTAGGTTTATTTTGTAAAGTAGTTTCAGAAGAAAAAATATGTTTTCCTGCTCCTAAAAAATAGTGTTTTTCATGCTGTTGATACATGTCCATTTGACAGCAATGATATACTCCCATTCTCAAGTAAATTCCTCATTTCTTTTTCCCATCCCTGTCATATGATTCTGTTCAATGATCCATCCTGTCTTACACATTCTTTGACAACCATCAGTCACACTTTAGCCATTGATTTGCTCCATTCTTAATAGTTTTGAAAATCAGGAACTACATGTGACATAGTTCTGACACGTGAGAGAATTGAGAAGCCGATTGAGTGTCATTGTAATCCATGTCATCAATTCACAGAGGAATTGTCGCCAGTTTCTCAGGAAATCAAAAGCTTTTATGCTTATACTTTTGTGGGTCTCATCATAACAGCAGAAATAGTAAGGTAATATATAATCAATGAAATACATTTTTCCTAAGAAATACATGCAAAATATAAGCCCTGCTGAGTCCAATTAAGACACATTAATGAAATGGAAATGTATTAATTTATTGGCGCAGATTCACAGTTCCAATACCAATTACAGACGCTCCTCTACTTACGAATGAGTTACATTCCGAACGGCCATTCGTAAATTGAAATGTTTGTAAGTCGTTATTCAACATCTTTTTAAGGGTATACGCAAGTATAAAGAACTAGGATGCTGGGAGTTTGCACGCTATGCTGCTGTGCGGCGGGTATAGCAGCCAGAAGTCGTACTAGGTGGAATTGGCGCACAGAAAGAAAAAATTGATGTTGCAGACAGGAAATGGGAGCCCAAGGAAGTCAATTTGGAATTACAGTCCTCTTCGTTCATATGTCTGAAAGTTCGTAAGTTGAAAGTTCATAAGTAGAGGGAGCATCTATATTTTATAGAATTTTTTGTAACAACAATGCCTTCAATATCTTATTCCTTGGGTAATTTGCATCCACTGGTATTGGACCAACAGCGCACCCTTCTGAGGAACTGAGAAACAAACCAATGTTATTGTGGTTTAACCATTGTAATCTATTCTTTTATAACTTATTCTATATCCAATTTCAATTTGTTACAGCGTAAATTAGCCTGGCTTCTCATTCTTTTGTTCTACATGTTTTGTGAGTGTTTCATTCATTCACTTTGCCCAGAGCAACTTGTGTGCACTGGGGCAAATCTAAATTGCCAGATTAAAACTGAGGCAATTTCATGAAAATGAATGCTGCAAACTCTATGCTGTGGGCAGCTGGACCAGCTGTTATCATTGAAAGTGAGCCTAGATTCCACTTCACTGAGTTAAATAGTCCAACATTGCAAACAAGTGTTTATATATAACTTTCTTTATAACAGCATTGGCCACCATGTTTATGATAACATCAAAAGTGCTCTCATTTCAACTTTCTCTCCCAGAGGCAAGACTATCTCTCTGATGTTTAATGGCTTATATAAGTGTTGTTCAGTTTTTATGAAAACTTGATGTAAGGTTCATAAAACTGGACTTGTGGAAAAAGTTGTAATTTTTGATGACCACTGTTTGAACAGAAGTGTGTAAGTAAGTGGTGAGGTTATTAACAGCACTGGTGCTGTGATCGGCAGGGAATGATGTACTTGGAAGAGCGTAGGCTGGTGCACAGAGACCTGGCTGCCCGCAACGTGCTGGTGAAGTCGCCCAGCCACATCAAGATAACCGACTTTGGGCTTGCTCGGCTGCTGGATGCTAATGAAAAGGAGTACAATGCAGACGGGGGCAAGGTTTGTGGGGCAATAGAGGGAGAATTACGTATTTTAGTTTTAGGACACTGTTTAAGCATCCAGCTGTATGATCCTAATTTTCATCCTTAGGAACTCAGTGTTTACAAATATACAAACCTAGGGAGCAGAAATTTTATTCTTGAGGAAATTATCAGAAATGATCAAAAGATCTGTCACAAATCTCATGTTTATTTCAGTGAAATTTACAGTACAATGCCTTACAAATACCGCTTCTCTCCTTATATATTCCTTCCACAGATGCCCATAAAGTGGATGGCTTTGGAATGCATCCACTACAGGAAGTTCACTCACCAGAGTGATGTGTGGAGCTATGGTGAGATATACAGTCAGGCCATTTGGTTTCTGGCAACAAGACAATGGTTTATCTTCAAAGCTCCTGTAATATTCAGATACACTACCAGTCAAGTTTTTGCACACACTGAGATTTTCTACATTTGCATGTTACTCACTTAACATTTACTAAAAATATACTCAATATCCTTTGCTAACAAATAAATTTACAGTATGTTCACCACTTGAATATCTTTATTAGCAAGAAAATGTAACCTCCTCTAGGAGTTATTACAGTAGAGAAAAGTCTAGGCATTCTTTCTACAAGGGACATTAAATACCGCTCTGTTTCATGGGATGAAACAGTTAACTAGTGCATTTAAAGCCTGTATTACAGGACAGCCTGTAATTTTACTATGCCATCACCACACGACCAGTTAATAGGATGTCAGACATGCAGTTACATACTCTTTCTATGCTATAAAGGAAACTTCATTTATTCAACTCATATTTTTATTTAGTTGTTAGTTGGTCACTCAACTTTCGAATGCTTATGAATAAAAAATCAGCAGTTTATGAAATAAATGGAAAAGTGGTAAAAACCTGTGGTGTGCAAAAAACTTTTGACTGGTAGAGTATATATGGAACTGTTTATAGGCCACATCACATTATTTAACTGACAACAGTTTTCTAAATAGAATTACAGTAAACAGTACTTTGTCCTGTTCCACAGGAGTGACCATATGGGAACTGATGACATTTGGGGGGAAGCCATATGAAGGGATTCCCACCCGTGAAATCCCAGACATCCTAGAGAAAGGGGAGCGGCTACCTCAACCCCCAATCTGCACCATTGATGTCTATATGGTCATGGTCAAATGTGAGACATTTTTGCCTTAACATAAGTTAATGATCTCCTCCACTTTTGCATTTTGTCTTTGGCTGATTGTGCGCATTTTTTTCCTGGCATAAATTAACTAAATTGAATAGTATGACTAATCACTCTGGTGCTTGTTGTTGTTTATCATTCTACAGCAGTATATTTATGCCCTTCTTTGTGCTTGTTATTAATTTACATGAAGTGAAATGTATTACTTGAACAATTACTCTTCATTTAGATTATGCGCCTTTGCATGTTAGATTGATTATTTGTTTACTGTGTGAAAACGTGAGGACACGGAAAATTATATAAAATACAATATAATGAAGTAGTGATACTTTTTCCATCCCCATGAGGAAACTGTGTGTGTCACCTGTCCCATCTTGCTCTCCATGTGACAGACACATATACAGTTGAGAGAATGTTTAGGGGTTCACAGTGCAGGGTTGGTCAGTGTCAGTTTCAGAAAGACAGTAGATCGGAGAAGGAACATTTGTTTTTAATGGCCAGATGTTTAGGCTATAGTGGGAGTGAAAATATATATTATTTTTTTCTTTTTGTTCATTCTCAAGGCTGGATGATTGATGCAGACAGTAGACCTAAGTTCAAGGAACTGGCAGCAGAATTTTGCAGAATGGCTCGAGACCCACAACGCTACTTGGTTATTCAGGTGAGAACCTGCCCATTGTGCTCTCTCTGTGATATTGTTATATTTCAATCATTAACAGGAAGTTTGTAACTAGTAATGCTTAAATTCCTTAGGGTGATGACCGCATGAAGTTGCCTAGCCCCAATGAGAGCAAGTTTTTCCAAAGTCTACTGGTTGAAGGCGAGCTTGATGACCTGATGGATGCTGATGAGTACTTGGTACCACATACCTTTAACCTGCTCCCACCGTCTTGTACATCCCGACCTCAAGTCGACACAAATCGGGTAGGCCCACCAAATCACAGAAAGCTCCAGGCGCATCATAATATTCTGACACATCCCACCTGTCTCTGACCTCCAGTCATCATTCTGATTTTTTTTTTTTAGCATTAAATGATATTATTATATGAAAGACTGTCACATTCCGCGGTGAGGGAAGAGGCGAACCCCAATATGCGAGAGAGCCGTTTATTTCTAAGATCGGGAACACCAAAGCAGACAGAGAGAATCCAGTAGAATAGTCAGGTTGGTTCAGATGCTGGGAAGGTCAGTCCTACGTAGAGGTACGGGACGAGGAGATGGAGGGACGATAAACACGATGAGAGACGATCGGGCAGGCAGGACGGAGAGGGCAGGCAGGCAGGGAGACAGGATCGAGGAGGCAGGCAGGACAGACGAGGCGGGTCGGGCAGGCGAGACAGCAGGGCAGGACGGAACAGGCAAGGCAAGTGGGAGAGACAATAGACAAATGAATGCTTGGTATGTGTCATGGGTGGCAACAATACTTCGCGATCTGTCTAGTGATCGCGTCTGTTTTATATAGAACCTATCGTCAGGTGATTATTGCCTGTCGCTGTGCTGCCCCGCCCCTGTGGGCGTGACAAAGACTTTTCAAGTCTTAACAGTATTTGTGTGTGCATGTCTGAGTATTGTATTTGCTGTGTTTCTGCATATGTCAGGGCTGCTTTGTTGGACTGGCTTACCTGGACTAAAGCTCCGGAGCTTCCGCTAAAAAGGGGACTCAACTAACTTGTTTTAACAAAATACATACCCCCCTTCCCCAAATGACTAACAAGGATTATTTTTCTTCTTCAACATGGTTTTGCAAATGGAGACATACAATTCCAGTTTTATTCCTACTTTACCAGGAGTTCACATATGATTTTTTACTAATTATATGTGTCTACATTCTTGTAGAACCAGTTTGTGTACCAAGATGGGACCTTTGGTGCTGAGGAGATGATAGCCCAACCTCAAGAGGGACCTGCTCCATACAGAGCCTTTACTCAGCAGCATCCAGGGGCCCAGAGCTTGATCCAGGAGGACTCACGCCGCAATGGTTCCTTACTCAAACAGACTTCACCTCAGCCTGGGGAAGACAGCAGCCTCCAGCGCTACAGTGCTGACCCCACAGTATTCCTGCCAGAACGGGGGCCACGGAGGGATGCAGATGTGGATGGCTACATGACTTCAAAGCAAGACAAGGTCTCCTCAGGTACCAAAAATACATCACAGCCTCACTTTTATCTGTTGTCTAAATTAATCAACAATTTTTTGTGTTTTACATGACTTTTGTGTTTAGCCAAGATTAATTTTACTGCCTATAAATAGCATTTTGTGTCCTACAGTGGTCTTTTTTTAATCAGCACTTTTTTGTATTGATAATGAAATTCTAAATATCAACTCTTCTATGACATTTAATTGAACTTCATGTGGAACAATGAAGTAATCAATGGGCTATGTGACTCCAGGAAAATGAAAGTCTTTCTTAACATTCACAGCAGGGGTTTGATAACTGTCGAGGTACTGCAGACATAGATAATGTCCGCACTAATGGTTTTTCTGTTTTCTGTTTTCTAAACAGCAGATTATATCAATCCAGTTGAGGAGAATCCCTTTGTGACACGCTGTAAAAATGAAGATATACATGTACTGGATAACGTTAGGTACCATGGTGCCCCCAATGGGCAGACTAATGTAGAGGACGAGTATGTCAATGAGCCCCTCTACCTCAATACTTTCCATAACCTGGGACAGCAGAGCCAAGAGACTGTGAATAAAAGTAGGGTTCTTCCTCGTACTGCAGCATCCACTTTGGCTACTAGCCAAGCACCACAGCCTGGTCAGGCTAGTCACCCCAATCTCCAACCACAGTCAGGCCATGCTCACCACCCCACCCAACCCAGTTACAAAGCTCTGCCTAACCATTCCATCCACAATGGCAACCCCAGTCATCGAAGTCACGGTTTCTACCCAGACCACCTTGGATATACCTTACAGCCAAATTATACCGCCCACCCTACCCACACTGGCACCATAATGGTGGACAAGAAGCCTAAGAAGACCTTTGACAATCCTGAGTACTGGCAACACAGCCTTCCTCCCAAGGCCAGCCTGCACAACCCAGAGTATCTGCAGGAATGCAACACCAAGTTCTTATACAAACAGAATGGCCTGATTAGGCCTGCAGTAGCTGAGAATGCAGAATACCTGACAGAGTTCTCTGTCAAGCCTGGGCCAATGTTGCCACCACCACCCTACCGACAACGGAACACTGTGGTGTAAGAGTTGGAGTAGGAGATTTGACCTCACGCTCTCTTCTTCACTTTTTCTTCCAAAAACACTTGACACTTTAAAAATCCTGCCTCCTCAAAACTGGAGTGACAGTCAACATTATGAATCTCCACCCAACTCAACTGGAAACACACCGTCTATAAGAAAGTATTCTCTAAAGGAGTGCTATCGTAACTATGGGTCAGGCACTTCCACCTCAATCCCTCTTTTCCCATACAGAAAACACCCTTCATACATCAGTCAACTACTCCCTCCTTTCAATACTCTTTTCTTTGGAAATGGGCACTTGTCAAATTGTTCTGTCACATACCATTTGCAATTTCCACATTTAATATTATATTGGTATAAAAGGGATAAAAATCAAAGCAATGTGACAGTTATGGGGGTGGTGGTTTGATATAAGATGCATGTATTATTACATATGGAAGGTTCAAGGGAACTTTATGATAACCTAGACAGGTTTGTGGATCCTGTCAGCTGTGATGGATTACACCGAGAAAATATTCAGCATCATGCCATTTAGCATCAATATATTTTAAACATATCCACATTGGTGTTTCTATTTTTTCTGATGTAATCAAATATGCTTTCATTTGCATCTTATTTAATGTTACTGTTTGTTTTAAATGCAAATAATTTTATTTATGTGTATCTACCATTACAGTCAACATGCTTAATCACAGTGGATATAATGCCTGTTCATGCAGTATGGCTACATTTTTATATATCCTGTTCTAAACCTACTTGTTATACATTGTCACCTGCAGTATTGTTCCTTGCTTTGTATCATAAATACTTTTAAAATTTTGAAAACACGGGAAAATACTGGTTTTATACTTGGGGTTGACATAGGGCCATGGCAGTAGCAATTTCTTTTGATTTTAGGTAAAAAAAAAAAAAGCAACGATTCAGCAAAAATTGATGAAAGAACACATGTAGGTCATATTTTCAATGGATCCTGGTAGCTTCATATCATTCTTATCATTTAATTGACAAATAGAGGCTTGCTTTTTGAAATTGGTTTTGTCTTATTAAAGCAATACAACAACGGACTTACATGGTTCACTGAAATTAAAAAGTACACAGACACAAAAGCAACTGCATTCATATAGTATTTGAATTGAATTGTTCCCTACTTTAAAAAAGATTATGAAAATACTTTCAGGAGAGCTTCTGATCATAAGATGCACATTGCTTTGAAATACAAGAAGTCTTTTTCTGAGTGTGCAGGAAGTCGAGACTATTCTGGCCCAGAAGAGTTGTAGCAGTAGTTCATACTAATGCCTTTGGCTAATCGTCATTAAATAAATAAATGTATAAATTAGAAATCTGAGCTCTTCAGTGGATATGAGAAATATGCAATATGAAATATGAGAAATACCGTAATTTTACAGTGCAATAAAAGATTTATCTGACAGTTTTTAACTTAATCTGGATATAATCCAGGACAATCCCAAAATTCAGTATTCTTTGTCCTAATCCAGTAGATTTAATTCAACACGAATTACTATTTTATTTTATTTATAAACAATGAGAGTAATAATGTATCGATACATATGACCACCGCTTTTAAATAAAATTCCATTGATAAAACAAGAAATATTAATGCAGTCATATGTTCACTTTTTATAAACTCTAAAAGAAAAAAGAACTCATATTGTAGGCAATTAGATTTATTAGATTTACTAGTGTTTGATATTGACAAATCATTTAATTACCACCACATAATGTGTCATTATATTTATATTTAACCATGTTACTGAATAAGAAGCAACAGAAAACTAATCTTATTCCACTTATTTATAAGATATACTGGCGTCATCAATAAAAAAATGTATAAAGAATAAGAGACTACTGAAAAGGTTTAAAATTATTTTAAAGTACACATGTCAATGGCATAATTTGTTTCAGAGGAAGCACGTTTTGGTAAACAGTGTCTGTGTGTGCATAATGAGGCCCGAGGAAGAGAGCACCAGATGTCAGAATGTTAAGCATTATGATTTCAAGCTGGTTTTATTTTCAGAGAAAAGGATGATCCATAGCACAAAAAGTTGTGAAATCAGGGAACTGATTGACAAATGTACACATTTACTTTACTAAGTGTTTACCAATGGGAAAAAACTACACACAGACACAGACATTCCAGGGAGGACCTTCTGGCTGGAACTCAGAATAAGCAACTTCACTTTTTCCAGCTTATCATTGGGTGCTGAATAGCCCAGGATGGTGGCTTAATGACCAGGTCAGATGTCTTCTTTCTTTATGTGGAGTTAATAAATGCAATTAAAAGTAACAGCCTAAGTGGATGGTAATTAAATATATTAAATATTAAGAAAAATTGTCTGGCTGTCCCAAGCCTGCACTCTATGGTCGATGTTGATTTTTGGAATTATTATTATTTGTTATTAAATATATTAAATATTAAGAAAAATTGTCTGGCTGTCCCAAGCCTGCACTCTATGGTCGATGTTGATTTTTGGAATTATTATTATTTGTTATTGTATTTAAGAAATGCTTTAAGAGTTCAGGTTTCATCACATTGTTGTAGACTTAGTCCAAAAAAGCAATATACTGTAGTGTTTGTCACCAGAGCCCCAAGAATGAGTTCCTCAGGTTAAACATACAAACACATACTCCCCCTTCATTTATACTTGGCAGCTAAACAACTATGGATTTAGTTTTGCTGTGTAGCAGGGAGATATTTAGTGAGCCTTGTCACCAAGTTGACTATGTTGAACTGTCAAAGAATCTTAACACTAACATTTTCAATGAGAATTCACAAGCATACAGAAAATGTATGTAGCATACTATGTCATGCACTAGGAATTTTGTTGGTTTCAATAGAAAATATTGATCAAGGACCAACATCCCAGCAGTTCAGATTCATGAAAAAGTAAGAAAACAAATGTAGGAATAAAGAAAAGACAACTTTAGTTGTAAATTACACTATTCCACATCAAATGTTCACAGTAACGATTGCCTAACGGGATCTGGCTCCTGTTATTCTGTCAAAATCATTTTGACCATTGACATTCACCTTATATTGTAGAAATATTTGGATTGTTAGTAAGAACAGATTGTGATTTGTCTTAATCATAACTACAGTTTATAATACTTATTTCTTTTAGTAATGTTGTGGAATGGCAATAGGGTCTTTGCTTATAGTCTTTTTTCCCAAAATTGATTCCTGCATATTAGTGTTTTTATTTTGTACTTAAGATTTTAATTGATAAGTAATAATCAAGTATCAGACAAATTTATATTTAAGGCATAAATGAAAATGATACTTTAATAATTTTACAGTGATTTATTTTTGAATGCTTTTTTGAGTGTAAATTAAAATTGGCTTTTTGTGTTTACTCGATAAATAAGAAAATGATCAAATCTGCAAACATGTACATCCTGGAGAAATAACTGAATATTGTTTACGCCATTGTTTATGATCCTGGCATTTTTTCCTTTTTTATACAGATATTTGCAATGGCTGTTATGAATGACATTGCTGTATGTTAACAAATGTGAATAATATTTTCATAGAGTGAAGAATCGGCCAAGGGAATTTGTAAATATGAAAAAAATGTTGCTTTTGTATTCCTGTATTGTTGTTCAATTTTTTTACCTTTATGCAATTAAGTTTAACACAACTCTTGTTTCTGTATATATCTGTCATTTCTGTAGTAGTTTCCTACCCATCAGCTACACAAACACAAATGACACATCCTGTGTGTCCCTATAATTTTAGCTGTTTGCTTATAGATTCTTTCCTGTCTGTTTTTAAAAGCTGTTTCACTTTGTGCTTTGCTTGTTTCTATTCCTCTTCCCTCTGTACTGGTAGCACCTGAGCTTTGATCCATGCCTTGAATGTAGTGAAGTACATATACAAGACTTTATGTAGGTACTGGCAGCCAACGCCTATGTTATCAATCTGGCTTTTGGTTAGCATCACATTTCATTTTGATTGGCATCACATTGTTAAATTTAAATTTGTCTCCCATTACATTTTCCCAGCTACATGAATAAATATCTTCATTTTTATTTTTACATAAGCTTGAAATTAGACACTCCTCATCAGTAAACTGGGCCATTCAAGCAACTTCTAATTTATAATTATGTGCATTATCATAAATAATATCTCTATCCCATGACATCTACTCTGTTAGCTAACTGACATTGCTGACAATTACAGATAATTTTTCTTGAGTACTTTTGTGAGGATATGTTATGCTTAGCACTGTTTAAGGAAACTGACTAACTAGGGGAAGATTCAGAGTTCCCAGCAGAATTAATTTTTAGTTTCCAGTCCCCTTGCTACTTTCTCTAACACCCCTCCAATTTCCCACACCCATCTACTCCCACCTTCCCAACCAGCAGCATTTAAATAATTTTCTAAAATTTTTGCTACTTGACTGTGTCAAAAAATATATTTTTAATTTAATACAAATAAAGCATAATGCAATATTTACAGAAATGCAAATGCAAGCTTATTATGGTTCACCAACATATCTTTGTGTGGTATAAAGGCCACATGACTAATTTTCCTGTGGACTTAGAGTGCATGTGAACATTGTGATGTCTGTGGTTGTACAATATGATTTTAAGGAGCACTCTTTATTATACAGTTTGATAGTTGGTTTATGAAAGATCAAAAACATGTCCAGAGAAAAATGGTTGGATTTTAATAAGTGAAGTTTATTCTTCAAAATCAAATGGAAAAGAGATTCCCCAAAAAAACAATGTGTTTAAATTATTTGCTGTTTGTTCCTGCATCTATTGTGTCTGACTCAACGCACGCTGCCAAGCCCTAAGGATCCATCCAAAAGATTTCAGTAATGAGTATGTGTTGCATTTTGAAAATCAAATGAAGGATAAAGCAATACGCAGCCAACACCTTTCTTCTAACACATGACCTTTTTCAGTTCCAGGGATAACTATGGAATAAATTTCACAGGAAAAAAACAAACTTAATTTGAAATATATGCAAATTGCTTGCAGTCATAATTTCATTATTACTTGTTTGCACTCTCAAGAATTACATGACAGTGAAAAATTAAAATCAGGGAGCAGGTGTGTTGTTATACTACATTTGTGGAGAATACAAGGCTCTATTTTCCATCTGCATAAAGCGCGATGCAAAGTGGTTTTGCTAGTTTCGTACCAACAAATTGATGATTTTCACACCATGCACATATGTCGTTAAAATAGTAAATGATTTTGCATCCGCTTTCCGCCAGTAAGAGTGATGTTTTTTAAATGAGGCGTGGCCGGGCGCATCATTGGCATACCGCGCAAGGCAATTGTGCTTTTGACCAAAAAAAAAAAAAAACACATCTAAAGTCAGGGGCGCATTGTGCACGGTTAATTTACATACTGTCATTGAGAGGATATTTGGATTGCTGAAAATGCCTTTCAGATATTTAGATAAGTCAGGTGGAACATTACAGTACTGCCCCCAGAAGGTCACAGCATTCTTTGTTGCATGTTATGTGTTGCGTAACATTGCGATAAATGATGGAAGGCCGTTGGACATAATTGAGGACGCATTAGAGGACTTCAGGAGGCGTGATGCTGAACTGCATGGGCGGATGCCAGCGAAGGAGTGTACACCGGCAGCAGCACGGGAAAGGAGAAAACAGCATGGTCTGTATGGGATCTAAGGTGTGAGTTGTAGAAAAATAACAGCCCTATTCCATTTTATTTGCACTTTATTTATGTTTTGCGAACAGTGGACCCAAAATTAAAATAAAACACACACATACAAGCATAATTAAGTCCCCGTTCACAGCCGCTGCTCCTGTTCAGCAGCTAGCTTCCCCGTCCTTAAACATCATCATACCGATTTCGGCACTACGCGGATGATCTGGTGATGCCAGTAAACGAGGACACACTTGCGGTTACCTCATCCCATACCTGCTTCACCACCAAAGATTTCGGTGGAACAGTGGTGCTCCCATAGATGACGCGCTTATGCCTTTTCAGCTCGCGCACAAGCACATTGGTTTCCCCAGGCGAAAAGTGATCTGGCTTGCCAGGCAAACGCGCCATTGTAATGACGATCCACAGCAGAGTCTGTTTTTCCGCCATATAAATAATCAAATGAATTTGGACACATAACTGTTAGTTCTGCTTAGTGCTTTACGGTTTGCGTTAGAGCCCAATGAGTTTGATTCAAGGGCCAGATGCACAATAGTTCAGATGATCAAGGGGAAACAGAGACATGGAACTGAGATCCTTCACTTTTACAAACAGGCTTTTTTGTACTTGGGTAATTTTTTTTGTTAAATGTCATATAATCATCTAACGCATGCGTGCGCACACACACACACACATATCATATATATATAAATCAAAAACTGAATTTACCAGTGCCCCTAGCTGAAATTAATAAATTAATAATTATACATAATGCAACATAATGCAAATGATGTTAGCACTGAGTAGTACATGAAGTGATGTATATATTATGCTTTTACTGTTTATTATCTGTCAACATTAGGATAATTCCAAGGGCCTCTGAGTGAGATGGGACCTATAAAAGTTGTAACATAATGGTATTGGTCTTGCTTGGGGGTCCAATATCATGGGCTTTCATGGGGCCAAAATCTCTAGTGAATTACAGCTCTTATCCCTGCTACCTTAAAAAAATCATAGAATCACCACTTGAGCAGGTCTACTGAAGTTATGAGTATCTTTTTATTTCTTATAGTAGTATTCAGGTTGTCACCCTGCATATCAGATACATATGAATGTCAATATATCTCAGCCAACTGTCAAGATATGTATTGGTTTGAAAATTGTGTGAACCACACAGTGAATAATACCATCAGCAGCATCTTTGCAGCCAAAAAATTAGACCTAATTAAAACTTAAGACATCACTTTGACAATGGATCTAAATGGGCGTGAAAAACAAGTACAGAAAAGTTAAAATAAATTTACAAAAATCATTTTTTTATATTTGCAAAAGTAACCTGTAATCCCCCAAAAAAATTCAAATTCAGCTGAATTTCCAAGGCAAGATGGGAAGCTGTTGAAGTGCTTATGGTGCATGAACCCACACTAAAAACACGTTTACAAACTCACTGAGGTTTGTTTCCGCCTTCATAGGAGTCAGACATAGATGGAGTACACTAATGTTCTCAAAGCCACTAGTCAGCTTTGGGGATTCATGACTGAAACCCCTCATCACTTTTCTCTCCCAGATGCAACTGACGCAGGTCATGAAGAATGGATGCAGAGATTCCCATCAAAGTTTTTCCTTTTATTTGTACACCAATGCAGTGTGCTGGTGGGATGGCCTAATCGGCTCTACTGCTCCCGGGTCTGTCCCATTCACTGTCACTATTCTGTATCCCCTAGCTCGGTGTGTGCGCAGTGTTTACTCTGAAAGGCCAAGAACAGCACACTGACAATTTGCACAACTTCAGTTATTTTGGCTTTATGCACTGAATGCATCTCTGAACTAGAAGCACAATCGATGTATGCTTGGATGAACTGGACGTAGTATACAAAGAAAAGAGTATGGTTTGTTCATTTTCCATACACAGTGCAGGGTCACAGCAGTCTGGATGCTATCCCAGAAACAACAGGCACAAGGCAGGGACTAACCCAAGAGAGGGTGCCAACTCAGTGCTGGGCATACACACCACCTACCTTAGCATGCTTTTGGACTGTACAGAGGAAACTGGAGAACCCAAAGGAAACCACACAATGGCAGGGAGTACATGCAAACTGCACACACGCAGGAACTGAAACCTGGTCTCCAAAGGTGAGAGGCAACCGTGCTAACCACAGTGCCACTGTGCTGTCCCAGAAAGCACTCTGTGTACTCAGTTCAGTAGCTTTCTATCTCATTTTCCCTCCTAATATGACTTTTCCTCTAAAAGTAGAGCCGAACAGGAACAGTTCTATCATACTGTAATATGATATTGTATGGAAATCGCTGTGCAATTCACTTCATTAGCTATAATTGAACAAAAACATTAAAAAATGTAGATTTCAGACGGTGGTAATTGTGTTCATTATACATAAATATTGAGAGATTAGGGTACCCTTAAAAATAAGAGACCAACGCCCCATGACAACAAATGTTTGCTACATTTATGTACAAGCAATTCTGCTATTACATGTGGTTCCAAAATGTGAACTGGCTCCTAGGTAAATGGTAAAAAATGGAATGTGTGTATGATGAGGATCTCTCATTGGCTTATAGGTGATTTCATCCCCAGCATGTTTATGTTTAGTGTAGCACAGTAACATGTTTGAATGTTTGTTTGGTTAGGTTTTCGGTGGTATTATTTCCTAAAAAGCCTGTAATTTTAACAGCATAATGTAATGTTTTACAGGAGTGCATCTGTCACTTTATAGCAATAAAGCTAGAATTTTATAGATTATTTTAAACAAACTGTGCTAAACTATCGGGATTCAAAAACACAGTATAATGCAGATGTTACGTGCTGAAATACGGCACGGAACGGAGACAGAGGAGCGAGAGTCCAGGAAGTCGGGGAAACAAAGGGTTTGTTGGGGAAACGAGGGTTTTACGGGGGAAACAGTCGGGCACACGGGACAAACGGGCAGTAACGTCAATGACAAGACTTGGGGAAAACGAACAGGGAAGTGCTTAAATACACCAGATTACATTGAACGAAACTACACACAGCCAGTGACATGGGGATTCCTCACGGGGCAGCGAGGGAGGGGGGCGTTTTTACAGCAGACATTTACGCAGAACAAGAAGGACTAGAACCAAAGATAAAATAAAGCCAAAAAAATCTAAACTTGGCACTTACACAACCTGAAAAACTGTACGATGCTTTTTTGGCATAGTATAGCGAATCGTGGTATTTTGTAAATTAAGACAAAAGGAAAATGACCAATTATAAAGCTAAAGTGCAAGTAAAAAAATCTATCAGTTTTGTGACAGATCAACTAGATAAGCAAAACAATGTCAGAAATCATATCACAGTATATTTACATTAGAAATTCTCTCGTTATATTTTTGCCAGTGGCAAGATTTCATGGTTGACACCTACTGTACAATTT